CCCTAAACCCTAAACCCTAAACCCTAAACCCTAAACCCTAACCCCTAACCCCTAAACCCTAACCTGTATGGGTACATGGAGCCTTTGGGTGTCTCTGTGCCCAGGTTGAGCAAGGGTGAGAACGAGGAGCGCCTCGGTTCGGTTGCCACAGCCCAAGACACTTCGGTTTAGGGTTTAGGTTTCAGGGTTTTGGGTTTTGGGTTTTGGGTTTAGGTTTTGGGTTTAGGGTTTAGGGTTTAGGCTGCCCGCTGCCCCAAGCGCTACAGTGTGTCATGGGGTGCAGTAAATATAACAGGGGTTACTTGGAGGTTCATGGATAGTTATAAGTGGGGTTATAAGTCCCCGAATATGGGTTGTAAGTATAGTTACCCACTTAAAACGCCCCCTCCCTCCCTCCCTCCCACAGGTGGTGGCTTCTAGACCCCCGACTCCCAACACAAAACTTGATTGCTGGATTTAGGGGCTTGAGGAAATTAAGACACCTTTAATCTTTTTTGGGTTCTTAGAATTGTGTAGTAATCGGAAAGTTTAACCCCTTTATTTCCCTGGCCTATTGGGGAAGTAAGCAAAACCCGAAGCCGTAGGGTTTGACCTTCAAGCCGCAGAAGCCCTTAGTGAAGAACACTTAGTCCTAGACCATATATCTAAGGGCTTTAGGAGGGACTCTTGTAGGTTGTTGGGGTTAACATGGAGACTACCTGGCTATATAAAGGGTATATAAGGACTACACAGTGGTTATTTAAGGTAATGGGATTAAGGGTCCCTGTTAAGGGTCCCTCCTAAAGTCCTTAGATCTTGGGCCTAAAAGCTAAACCCTAAACCCTAGGGATCCCTCCTAAAGTCCTTAGAATGTATGATTTCTTTGGGTCCAGGTTCTACTTGGAGGCCCAGGGGCCTTAGCAAGTAGGTTATAAGTAGACTCATAAGTACCCTAAAAGGGATCCTGAGTTTAGGGTTTAGGGTTCAGGGTTTAGGGTTTAGGGGTTACGATACTTAACTCTATAAAATGAGCCTACTTGGAGGCCCAGGGGACTTAGTAAGTAGGTTTTAAGTAGGGTTATAATCCATTATAAGCACCCTAACTGGAGTTACCCCCAAGTATAACCCCACTCATAACCGACTTACTAAGTAACCTGGCCCTTTAAGTAGACCCTAAACCCTAAACCCTAACACCCTAAAACCCTCATAGCCCAAATTATAGCCGCCCTACTAAGCCCCCTGGGCCTCCAAGTAGGGTTCAGGGTTTAGGGTGCCCAGGTTTCCGATGTTTGAACACCTATCTTGCTGAGGCCACCGGGGTAGGTTTAGGGTTTAGGGAGTGGCTCTGTTCTTATTCTTAGTGGCTGAATAGGTAACCTTTAACCTTTGGGGTTTATACAATCCTACCATGATTGAAAAGGTTAACCTTTTGTGGGCTAGGGCATTCAGCCCCTAAGTATTTAACCTATCAGCGGTTTAGGGTTCAGGGTTCTAGTTTATGTAGCATGGCATGTCTGCAGCTGAGCATCTTGAGCCCTTTGTGCACAAGGCTTGTTGCCCAAAAACTTGCCCTTAAATCCTAAACCCTCAAGCCCTAAACCCTCAACCCTAAACCCTCAACCTTCAACCCTAAACCCTAATCCTTTGGAGCGCCAAGGCCTCGGCGCTGAATGCATCCATGAAGGTGCTGAAGGCACGGCCCTCAGCTCGAGACCCCCACCAACGCAGCTTGGACAGGACCTTGCAAGCGCAACAGCCCTGAGGCCATCCCAGCCCTAAGCCCTAAACCCTAAACCGTCCCTAAACCCTAAACCCTAAACCGTCCCTAAACTCTAAACCCCAAACCGTCCCTAAACTCTAAACCGTAAACCGTCCCGAAACCCTAAGCCTTAAACCGTCCCGAAAACCTAAACCGTCCACACTCTCTTTTCGTGCATATGCATCCTGCACCAGATGTGCGGCACGTGCCAGAGAGTTGCCATGCGTGCGCCTGGTGAGGAGTGGGCCGAGTGGGACCCTAAACCCTACACCCCTAAACCCTAAACCCCACACTCTAAACCCTAAACCCTAAACCCCCCAATGGAGATCCCGCCAGACTTGGTCCTGCTTGGAGGTTCATGGGTAGTTATAAATGGGTTGTAAGTGGGGTAACTAAACTTATAACCCATATATTTGGGGACTTATAACCCCACTTTGAACTATCCATGAACCTCCAAGTGGTCTTCGTGGCAGCAAAAAGAACTGACGGACAAGGGCGGCGTCCTGGCCCAATTACCTTGCCGTCCGAGCCCGACTTGAGTTCATGTCGAGTCGGGACCGTGCAGACGTGTGTGGGGTGGTGGAGTTGTCGCGCGTGCTCCGAGGAGATGCGCAACAAAACCCTAAACCCTAAAACCGTGCCCAAGACTCGAAACCCCAATCAGCCGAAACCAGAGTCCGAAGACTCCTGAACCCAAGCTGAGGCCACAGGGTCGGACCTAAAACAGTACCTTTCTTAGGAGCCCCTTTAAAGCGTCATTACAAACCTTATTAGAGGTCACTGCTCCATTGATTTCTGTTCGTGTTTTAGGGTTAAGGGTTGAGGGTTAGGGTTTAGGGTTGCTCAACCATGGACCATTGAGGCGCTGGGTTGTTGCAATGAGGCGCATCAGATCGTTTTGGGTGTGGGAGAGGTTTGGATTCACGGCATCCTCCCGGCCGCACCTGCACATCAAGCTTGGGGCAGAGGGCTTCTGGCGGGATAGCTTTAAAACTTGAAGGCGCCCACTCCCACTGTGGTTGCCGCGATCATCCTGGTCCTGAGCATCATCAGCGTCATCGCCTTCATTCCTTGCTTTGTAAGCACCATCATCTGAAGCAGCAGCATCAGTCATTTTCGTTGCTTTCAGAATTTGGGATGCGGTTTGATGGTGATAACGACGATGACGCGGAATGTTATGATTATGATGATGATGACGATGATGCTGATGGTTATGACCATCTTGATGATGATGGCCATGATAAAGTTGGAAGTGGGTGGATGCTGAAAAACACGGTGATTTCTATACGCGAGATTTTGCTAACAGCTCACGAGGGTTTGGGTTTAGGGTTTAGGTTCGAGAGTGTCTCAAACCCCAAAATGCTGCAAGACATGCGAGGCCAACGGTGTGTGGGAGGTGGCGAAGACGATTGGGCACGGATCTTACGCTGTAGCACGGTGCTTTGTGTTCCTTATAATATCATCCTTCATCTCAACTTACGACCGCATACACCCAGTGAGGTATCAAAGCATCACTCGTCATAAGCCTGAGGAGCTCGTAGGTTGGAGCTGGAAGACCCTACTTGGAGGCCCAGGGGACTTAGTAGGTCGGGTATACTTGGGTTATAAGGGTGTTAGGGTTTAGGGCTTTAGGGTTTAGGGTTTAGGGTCTACTTGGAGGCCCAGGGGACTTAGTAAGTCGGCTAGAAGTAGGGTTCTAATGGGGGTAACTCCAGCTGGGGTACTTATAACTCTACCTATCACCTACTTACCAAGTCCCCTGAAGCTCCAAGTAGGTAACCTAAACCCTAAACCCTAAACCCCAAACCCTAAACCCTAAACCCTATCAAGAACCCCTGAGCCCCTGAAGCCTCAAACTTGAAAGATCTACAGAATCTGCATACACCCCAAGCAGTTTCTTCGAAGATGGAAACAACAGCAGTCATAAACACGTAGCAGCACATGTAACCGTGTAGCATGCAAAGTTAGTTAGTTACAGGAGACAAAAAAACAGATAAACAAAGCTAACGAATTACACCCCTGAGCCCTCAACTCCACAAATCCCAAGCCCCCCAAAAACCCTAACCCGAAGGCCCAAACACTAAACCCCAAGCCAAAACCCTAAAGCCCCAAACCCAAACCCTGATTACACCAGTGAAGACCCCAAACAGAATGCATCGAATCATGCCGGTTCAGGTTGGAACGTGTTGGAACCCCAATCTGTCTGGCTGCGGATCAGATGTTGAGGCATTAGGCAATGTTCTTGTGCAAAAGAAGAATGGGTGGTGATGACATCCGTGATGAAGGGGACCCAATGGGAGCGAGCCCAGCCCGTCGCCGCGGCCCACCCATCCGACCATGGAGCCCAGAAAGGAAACCCACTCCGCCGCCCAGAAAGGAAACATGAAGGGAGCCCAACGGGAGCCCACCCCGTCGTCGCGGCCCACCCACCAATGGAACCCACCCTGTCGCCGCGGCCCACCCATCCGACCCAGGAACCCAGAAAGGAAACATGAAGGGAGCCAAAATGGGAGCCCGGCCTTTTTGCCGTGGCCCACCCATCGGAGCCCAGAAAGGAAACATGAAGGGAGCTCAATGATGAAGGGAGCCCCATCGAACCCACCCGGTCGACGCAGCCCACCCATCCGACATGCGAACCCAGAAAGGAAACGTGAAGGGAGGTCAAGGGCAGCCCAGCCTCTTTGCCTCTTGTCGCCGCGGCCCACCCGACATGAAGGGAGCCCAATGGAAGCCCAGCTCCGTCGCCGCGGCCCACCCATCCAGCCACCGCGGCCCACTTTTTCTGAGGAGAGAACCCCAAACCGTACCTGTTTGGGGAAAAACCTTAAACCAAAACCCCAAAAGCCCCAAACCCAAACCCTAAAAACCCTAAACCAGAACCCCAAAAGCCCCAAACCCAAACCCTCAAAAACCCTAAACCAGAACCCTAGAGCCCCAAGCCGTCCCAAACAACAAAAACCCCAAACGAAAACCGTAAAGCCCCAAGCCGTCCCAAACAACAGCAAAAAGCGCCACAGCTTAGTAGCTGAGTGAACACACTTTACACTTTTTGGGATAATATGATCCCTTATAGAACTGAAAGTGTACAGTCTTCGGGGCTTACTTGGAGGTTCAGGGGACTTAGTAAGTAGGTTATAAATAGAGTTATAAGTACCCTAACTGGAGTTACCCCGATTACAACCCTACCTATAACCGACTTACTAAGTCCCCTGGGCCTCCAAGTATGAACTCAGCAAAAAGCGCCACAGGGCTCGACTCTCCAATGCCGCGCGGCCCTTGGATGCAGCGCCGGGGTCACAGGGACCGGTCCGGGTTTAGGGTTTAGGGTTCAGGGTTTAGGGATTAGGGATTAGGGTTTAGGGTTTAGGGTTTAGGGTCTGGGTTTTGGGTTTAGGGTTTAGTTTTAGGGTACATCACTGTGCCGGAAATAGGGATCTGGGAATGATTTGGGAGATAGGAGATGACAGATTACTGTTTCGCCTGCGCCAGATGAAATTCTGTGAGGGCTACAGATCACTATTTGCCCGCTACAGATCCCTACTTGCCCACTGCAGATCATGTTTCTGCTGTCTGCAGATTTTCGCCCAAGCCAGATGACTTTTCTGTGGGCCACAGATCACTGTTTGCCCGCTACAGATCACTATTCTTTGTTCTACAGATCACTGTTTTCTGTCCTACGTCATTAAATTCGTACGGATCCACTTGGACCAAGGAAACATCATGATCTGATCAGTACCGACATCAGTACATACTTGTTTTTGATCTTAGTTGTTAGTTTTCATTGGTTACCTGCCAAACCGCGGCAAACGTGTAGGATTGAGAGCTTTGGGTTGAGAGTTGGGGTTTCGGGTTCAGGGTGATACCTACTTCTTCCAAACTCAAGTACTTCCTTGCGAACCTGGAAATATTTCGTTGCCAATTCTGGAACCTGCCTTCAGATTATGTAAGACTGTTCCAGGGCCTAGACCACTTGAGTCTGATGATTAAATATTCAGCAACTACGTATGCCTAACCCCCAACCCATAGCTCATAACTCGTAATTCAGTTGTAAACCGGTGAAGGGCCCTGAGTACCTAATGATCAATCATATATTCTTTTCCCCAAGATACGAAACGACATTGTTATCTAAATACCTAATCCCTGTGCGCGTAGAAACACACTCTCAAGACTTTTCAACACCCTATCGAAACTTTACATCCCGGTAAGGTATCTTATTATTGGGCCCTGCGGACGCTTACGGCTATAGTCTAGTAGCCAAGCCCACACCCCAGATCAGTAGCTCGTGAGTGTTTGGTTTGAGGCTAAGCGGGTTGAGTTTGTGCCTTAAGTTTTTGCGTTTTGGGTTTTCCTAAATTAACCCTAAACCCTAAATCGTGTTTATATTTCATGGTTTAATTGACTGCTCAGGATTTAGTTCAGGGTTCTAATGGCTTAGGTTTTTGATGCCTAGGTTTGATGCATCATTTTTAGGGTTTAAGGTTTAGGGTTTAAGGCATCATTGGTGTTGGGCGGTTCGTTTTTTGTTCATGAAGGTTCATACTTTCGATCCAGTTTGAATTCGGGTAATAGGCTGACAGCAGGCGAGGGCTTTTCTGGTTGTTGAGTTTGGGATTCCCTTTTATCACCACTCCTTTACGGGGATCCGAATCCCCACGAACAAGACAATTTGCAAAGCCCTAAACCCTAAACCCCCAAACCCTAAACCCTTATCATCCCGAACCGCGGCGCCTTCAACAAAACCTGTCTTGCCTACCTTCTAGGACATTTTCAGGTGGGTAGTTACCGTTATATGAGCCTTATAGAAGGTCTATATACCTTATAGAAGCCTTACAGAAGCCCTATATACCCTAAACTCCCCCCTAAACCCCTAAACCCCAAACCCTAAACCCTAAACCCTTAACCCCTAAACCCGGAACCCTAAACCCTATATACCGTAAGCTCCCCACCTGTAGTTTCCTTTGATACCTGTGAGCGCAAGCTTTGACCTGGGACACGCCTGCCCCGAAGCCGTGGACGCAGAGAGCCCAAGGAATCGACCTTAAACCATGATAATAAGCCCCTATAGTTTAAGGTATGTTGCCTTAAAACTTAAAACATGATAATAAGCCCCTTATAGCTTAAGGTATGTTGCCCTGGACTCAAAAATCCCTAAACTGGGCTTTGGAGTACCATACTTGAACACTTTGTTTAGGGACCTGTTCCTTAAAGGAACCATTATGAAATAAAAGTTTATATTGTTTCTCTTTGGTTACTTCAAAGCCTAGTATACCTTAAACCATGATAATAAGCCCCTTATAGTTCACGGTATGTTGTCTCATTAAGGGGTATTGGGCTCTCTGGGGATATGCTACAAAACCCTGGCGATGTGGCAAACTCCAAGCGCCTGACCATGAAACTCTATAAGCCCAAAGCTCTGAGGCCTGAAACTTTGGACTGAAAGCTCTAAGCCCTTAGACCCCTTAACCTTAAAAGCCCAAAGCGTCCATAGTAGAGGACTGCACGATTGGCAGTAGTATTTTCTCGCTCCCGGCTATCATTGCAGTGCAGTATAGCATGTATGGTACAGTAGATACCCAATCCCTGTAGTATACTTTGATTGCTTAGGCCTTGTATTACTTTAAGGTGGCCATGCCTAAAGATACAACGTTCGATTTCGGAGTTTACAGCGCAGTCTGTCATGCATCGATTAGGCTGCCATGACCTCGCCCCCGAACACCCATATGAACTCCGGGTTGTAATCTTGCGTCAAGGCTTCGGCGTTCGAAAGGCTTTGTGCGGCATCGGACATTGCCCGAGCCCCGAACCCGTTTACTCAAGGGCAGGGCCCCAAGCCCAAAGCCCCAAACCGTAATCCCTATACCCGGTAACCCGAAAAACCTAAGCCCAAAAACCCCTCTGACCCTAAACGCTAAACCCTATAACCCTAGGCCCTAAGCCCCTAAACCCACAAACCCTGTAACCCTCAACCGTAGGCCCAAAGATCGATACTTAAGGGACAATAGGAGGGACCCCTAGAAGGGACCCTTAATCCAAATACCCTATATAACCCTGATACACATATAGGCTCATAACCCTGTATAACCCCAAGGGTCCCTTTAAGGGTCCCTCCTTTAGTCCCTTGAATAAACCCTAAACCCTAGGCCCTAAACCTGGAATCCGCAGAAAATTGATGGGCTTCACTCCGTGGGGCTCCACATAGCCCAGAGTAGGTACTAGTTGTAGACTTTGGGGCTCGGAGTTTAGAGTTTAGGGTTTATAGGGTTTTGGGGTTGAGAGTTTAGGGTTTAGAGTTTAAGGTTTAGGGTTTTTGCCGCAGCTTTAGACTTTAGATTTTAGACCCCAAAGTAGGTGCTGTTTGCATGGTTGGAGCCTTTTCGGGCTGGGCTTCACGATCTTAACAAGTTTAGGGGTTTAAGGGTTTAGGGTTCAGGGTAAGTCTTTAGGCTATTAGGGTTTTAGGGTTCAGGGTTTAGGGGTTTGGAGGTTTAGGCTATTGGGGTTTAGGGTTCAGGGATTTAAGGGTTCAGGGTTTAGGGGTTAAGGGTTTTTGCGTTGAGGGTTTGGGGTTTTTTTGAATTGAACATTTCACCACGGACCCCCCCCCCCCAGTTCGAAAGCCTAGCGAAAGCCTTACCTGAAACCCACCATAGTTTACAGGCCCTGTACCCAAAACTCTAAACCCCAAGCTGAACCCATAAACCAACCTCAATTCTACGTTCGTGGTTTCTAGTCTTTTTGGTTGTGTTTCTGGTGTTGGGCACGATATACACACTACTACTCTACACGCCAAACCCTACACCGTTACCCGAAGCATGACCGAATTTCGGCGGGTTGACATCCAGGCGTAGGGTTCTCTCTTATGGACGGGGCCTACGATCTCTCGAAAGGCGTTGGTTTAAGGTTTAAGGTAGCTTAAGGATCCAGTCCAAGGTATTAACTACTACCCTAAACCCTATACCGCCTATACCCTATCCCCTATACCCCTAAACCCTAAGCCCTCCTAAAACCCTAAACCCCTAAGCCCCTAAAACCCTAAACCCCAAACCCTAAACCCCAAGCCCTAAACCCTAAACCCTAAACCCCAAACCCTAAACCCTTAAGATGCTTGGATAAGGGACTCCGGGCCCAAATCCTTCTCTTGAAGGCCTGCATGTAAATTCTCAGACGGCTTGGGCTTCAAATGCCGAAATCCCAAGTATATATATATATATATTATATGTATCATTGCGTAACTATCTACACAATATGTGTAGGTTGAGATGCACAGTGTGTTTTCTTACCATTTTCGTTATCCTTTAAGCCTACGCATCTTCCAACTCCTAAACCCAAACACAGCCTAAACCCTAAAGCCTGCACTCTACACCCTGAACCCCAAATCGCTTCTCACCTTCAAGGAACCGTAAAAAAGGAGCCTCAAAGGGGACCCAAATTTAGAGAACTACCCTTATAGAAACCCTTCAAGGAACCCTAAACAAGGAGCCTCAAATCTCTGAGCCGAAAGCTTCTATCGAAGCCCGTTCCAAACTCTCTTAGTTGAGGCAAAGAAATGCAAAGATCCCGATACCCTAAACCCTAAACCCTAAAACCTAAACCCTAAACCCTAAACTTAGTTACTACTACAAGAAGGTACCCAAAGACCTGATCCTATTTATGATATTCATGCTCCTGTCTGACAGGGTTTAGGGTTTAGGGTATTTAGGGTTTAGGGTTTAGGGTTTAGGGATATTCATGCTCCTGTCTGACGTTATGGGCATGGAGGCCTCCGGAGCTCTAAACCCTAAACCCTAAACTAAACCTTGAACCCAACCCTAAACCTACCCCCAAGCCTAAACCTAAACCCCTGAACCCTAAACCCGAAACCTCAAACTCCCTAAAACAAACCCTCTTGAACTCCAAGCTCCAACTTATCCCAGGCTCCATGGTGACTTTAAGACCGCGAACTTTTTCCTTCGCCGCGTGGGCGAGGGGGAGGCCGTGGTGGGTTTTGTCCCCAAGCGGTTAATTTCTCCTGGCTTTGGGTTAGGGTTTAGGGTTTAGGGTTTAGGGTTTAGGGTTTAGGGTTTAGGGTTTAGGGTTCAGGGTTCAGGGTTCAGGGTTTAGGGTTTAGGGTTTAAGGAACCCTTTTAAAGACGAGATGACCCCTAAAAGGGTTTAGGGTTCATATACCATATAGGGATTCATAGTATTAGGGTATAGGGCCTCCAACTTTTAAGGGTCATTTGGTTGTTAAGGTTGTAGAGGTCCTTTTTTTTGCGGACGCTTAAGAAGTTAAGCTACAGACCTGAACCACCCTGAGCCCTAAAGCCGAAAATCCGATGCCTTATCAAACAGTTAACCCTAGACTGCAAATGCCTAAAGTCTTCAGGCCTAAACACGAAGCGATAAGAAAGTCCTAAACCCTGAAACCCAAATCCCCGAAGCCCTACACCCTCAACCCTGAAGATCCACTCCTTTGGCTCGCTTTCCTCTTTGGGAACATGGAGCCGCCCGTAAATTTTGATATAGAAGCCTCAAGAATTACCAATGCTATTTGGGGTTCCTTATTATACTTATAACTTATAACATAATGGGCCCCAAAACCCTGTTCTAATTATGAAGGCCCCTATATTGAACCCTGTCGACACAGCCTTTCCATGGGTTCTCATGAAGGGCTCCATTATAGTAGAAGCCATAAAGTAGGGAACATCATAGTCCTCATGCCCTTAAAATACAGCACAAGGGATCCCAGCACAAATCATCCTAAACCCATGTTCCAACTTTCTGCGGTTTAGGGTAAGGGTTCCTTAAAGGGCTCTTTTGAGGGTTCTGTTGAAGGGATCCTTTAAAGGACTAAGATCACTAGACAGCTCAGGGCTTAGGGTTTATAGGTTTTGGGGTGTATAATGTTTTGTTGTTTAGGGTTTGCCTTTTAGGGGTTAGGGGTTTTATGATGATTGCACGAAGAATATTGCTAATCGCTGATGTAGGCTCCTGGCTTGTAGGCGTTGCTCTCCTCAAACGAAGAAAATTAGGCCACCAAACCCTAAAACCCACACCCGTTCGTTGTTTCTAATCCTCGAATGCCCCTCCGATCACCAGAACCCCTTTTAGAACCCAAATACCACCTAGATACAAAGCCCAAAATCCCGCGTCCCACGCCCTAGCTGTTAAATTCCACGTCAGAGCCCTAAACCCTAAACCCTAAGCCCTAAGCCCTAAGCCCTAAAACCCTAAACCCTAAACCCTAAACCCTAAACCCTAAACCCTAAACCCTAAACCCTAACCCTAAACCCTAAGCCCGGAGCCGTGAGCCTTAAGCCTGAAACCCTAAACCCTGAAAAGAAAGAAACCACTTGGAGGCCCAGGGGACTTAGTACAAAAAGGGTTCTATTTAGGGTTTGGGGTTTAGGGTTTAGGGTTTAGGGTTTAGGGTTTAGGGTCTACTTGGAGGCCCAGGGGACTTAGTAAGTCGGTGATAAGTAGGGTTATAATTGGGGAAAGTCCAGTTAGGGTACTTATAACTCTACTTTAAACCTACTTACTAAGTCCCCTGGGCCTCCAAGTAGACCCTAAACCCTAAAACCCTAAACGCTAAACCCTAAACCCTAAACCCTAAACCCTACTTACTAACTCCCTCTCTAAAAGAGCTACTTACTAAGTCCCCTGGGCCTCCAAGCAGGGATCCTTCTGCGAAGCGGCAGTGGTCGATTTCGAGTTTTCGGGCCCTGGCTTGGTGGCTGCCCGGAACCCCGGAAGGTTTAGGGTTAGGGGTTTAGGGTTTAGGGTTTAGAGGTCATAGTTTAGGGTTTAGAGGTCATAGTTTAGGGTTTAGGGTTTAGGGCAAAGTGGCTGCCCGGAACCCCGGAGGGTTTATAGCACAAGCCCAACAGTTGGAAACCCAATGGCCTCTATCCTTAAGAGCAATGTATAGGGAATCCCAGCACTAATTGTCCTTAATCCGGTTTCCAACTTTTTGGGGTTTACTGTAGGAGTTTGGGGGTTGAGTGGTTGAAGGGATTAGGGTGGGGGCTGAAGGGTTTTAGGGTTTAGGGGTTTAAGGTTGAGGGTTTAGGGTTCAGGGTTTCGGGGTTTAGGGGTTTAGGAGTTGAGTGGTTGAAGGGTTTAGGATTAGGGTATCGGCTTTGGGAGTTTAGTGGGAACCCTGGAGGGTTTAGGAGTTTAGGGGTTGAGTGGCGTAAGGGTTTAGGATTAGGGTTTAGGGTTTGGGAGTTTAGGGTTTAAGGGTTTAAGGGTTTAGGATTAGGGTTTAGGGTTTAGGGTGTGGGGAGTTTAGGGCTCAGTGGTATAAGGTTTTATTGGGTGTTGATTGTCGCAGGTGTTGCTTGATTAATTCGGTGGGAGTTCGGGCCCTGTTTGGGGTCAATTAGTGGGTTTTTACGAAGGAACTTACTTGTTCTGAATGCTGTAGCTGGATAGCCAAACCATGTTGCCATACTTTCTGCGGCTGTGACGCTATGACAAAAACCGTTTAAGACCGCAAGAACATCCAACACTAGGTTCGGTAACGCCCAACCACTCACCCGCCAAACGTGACTATAAGGGACAGCGACCGTCTTTGAAGGGCTTCGAATTGATCTGTGGTTCTCAATCCCAGACCTAGGACTCGGAATAGTTATTAATCAATCTGTTCCTGAGGGTTCCGTATTGTAATAGAGTGTCACATACACCCTCAGGCTTCTGTATGCTGGAAATTCAAAACAACCCGAAGGAACAGGGTTTAATTCCTTTTCAAGTTTTCAACATGCCTCCAATTCTGCACAATCCTCAGGTAAGGAGCATTACAGCACCCTGACTTGCAGGCATCATAGAGTAAACTTAGTGTAGACTCGGTGTTCCTTTGGCACCATTTTCCAATTTTTTGGCAATATAACACACGCCGTTATAAGCCCAATACCTTGTTCGAGATGTTGTTTGTCGTTGGGTTCTAACAGTAGGACGTCTTATAGCACCTTCTTGGAGCCAAGGATTCGTTACCCAGACCCCCGGAAGGATCCAAAAAGTAGATCCCTTAAGGGGGTTCCTATAAAGTACCCTTTGGTAGCTAGGGTCCCAAATTAGGGGATCTACTTTTTAGATCCTCCCGGGGGGTCTGGGTATATTTGCTGCCAAGATAAGAACCCGACACCCGCTTCCTGCTTACGCTCAGGGTGCAAGTAAGCCTTGCAGCCCTAAACAGGCAAACTTGCAAACGCCAGGTGCTGGATTTATAGAGCCGACATCCTAGAAGCCGCCATAATTATTCCTAGCCCCCTAGATGGTAACCCACCCTATTTATTTAAAGTTGGGTTTGTGTATGGTGACAACAAATGTTTAGTATCCCCTTTTACTCAGGCAAATAAACAGAGGAGTTTGTTAATCCGGGATCTAGGTTGTTGTTCAGAACCTTAAACGCCTTAAACCTTAAACCCGAAACCGTAGCAACGTCTCAGCGTCTTTGAGAGGTCGATCTTGCGAATTTCCTGTTCCCGGACCTGAAGATGGACCCCGATTGGTTTGAAACGTTACTCCGTACGAGCTTGAAGGTGCAGTCAATTATTCGGTATTCTGTGGGATCATCATTATACTTATTTTCATTATCATTATCATCATTATTATTACTATGAATATTACGATTATTGTTATTATTATTGTTATTACTATTAGTAGTATTATGGGGTTTAGGCATAAGGGTATACTAGTTCAGATGGGTCCACTTCCAGGCTGTTTGGGTTGAGGCGTTTGGAATTAAGTTTGATTTTGCTTTGCAAGGGTTGTGGGTGCTGCAGTGTTGGTTGCGGGTCAGCGGGATTTAGGTAGTTGTGGCTGTCGTGTGTGCATAACCCTAAACCCTAAACCCTAAACCCTAGACCCTAGACCCTAAACCCTAAACCCTAAACCCGCATGTATGTGTGCATGTCCGGCTCACGTTGCGAGCAGAAGCTACAGGTGACAAGGAGGCGGATTGGTGGCAAGGGCGGATGAACCCAGATCGTTCGATCGAGGTGGCGTTGCAGGAGCCCCTTGCACAGCAATCCAGCTTGGGTGAGATGACCAACTGGAGCGTTCGAGCCTTGTTCATCGCACCGGACTTCGACCTCACCTCATCCACGACTGAGTGTGGCGACTTGGCGCTCCTGCGCAAGGGCGGGTAAGCCCTGAACCCTAAACTGCCCATAAACCATAAGCCCTAAACATAAACCCAAACCCTAAACCCTAA